AGCTTAAATTACGTAGATGAGCGCTACATGCAAGACTCTTGGTATCTACTTAAACTATGGAAAAATGAAATACTAATGTGAGTTTTTAAATAAGTTGAGGAAGAAAATGTGTTTTTATTGTTCTTAGTTTAGGAGTTGATAGGGTTTAAATTTAGGAAGTATGAAATGGAACATTCTCTGTTCATTCGGTCCCTGGAACGGCAGAAGCCCATTGGCATTAACCTTTGGGTTATTAATATGTTGATGGAGGGATGGATTAAGAAAAGGGCAGGTTGTAGGACACAAATGGCACAAAGGCCAGAGGCAAATAATCTTGTATTGACTCCAGTTCTAAAAAAAAAAAAAATAATAAATTAATTCAAGACAGAAATTAATTTCCAAAGATGGTTCTGTGGTCAAATGAAGTTGCTTTCCAGCTGAGATTATTTCTCTGCTCTGGGACTGGAGAAGCAGGTATTTGAACTGTTAATTGTACTTTAGGGGCAAGTAAAATAAATGTAACTTTGAGGCTAATACTTTACTGGGAAGACAGTGATAATGTGCTATCTCAGAGCACACAGAGCATGAAGGCACGTAAACTTACTGAATCTTCATTCCAAAATGTCATGTGTCTCCACTGTGACTATGGTAAAATGTGTGCCACCTGCTCCCTGCTAGCCCTCTAATGACATTAGCCGTACTGCGTGGACTTCACTTCTGAACAGCAGTCCTACCTTGGGGGATTTGGAAATGGTTTTCTCCATTCCGTCACCCATTGGGTTGTGGATGCCCCCTGGGAGCTGTTGTGGCAGGTGCTGAGAGCTCAGATCAAATGCGGATCATTATGTGGAAAAACTGAAGAGTAATCCTCAGCCTTCCTTCTGTGGAAAACATTGTAGCTGTGCTGAAAATGGGATTAAAATGGCTAAAGATCATCATGAGGGGTCAACTTTTATCTCATTAAAGTCTCACTTTGTTTCTGACGGCAGCGGAAAATCAGTGAGTATCCCTGGCAGAAAGTGGTGCGAACAATAAAGCTGCACAGCAGCAGCCAGCTCCAGGGTCCTAATCCTTACTGACTTGCCGTGACCTTGGGTGAGACGTTTCATTCCTCTCTGCTACCCTGTGCTGTAACCCAGAGTTAATTATGTGTTTCACAGGATTTGAGTTAAATAGCTGTCGGTTTTAAAGCACTTTGAAAGTTATAACCTCTATATGCATGTTAACGTTTAATTCCTCACAACTGAATAGTGCGGCTGATACTGAAAATGGAGGAGTTCTTACAGGGCGCCAAGGTGAGGAAGACTTTGCTGAGCTGACCTCAGTCTGAGCTGAAGAGGTTTTCAGGCAATAACTCTCAGTGGAGTAATTCAGGAGTCATTCCCAGTTCCTCTGAAGTAGGGGAGCACGAGCTGAACCCATTAGCAGAGTGGGTGTGGGACTGGGAGAATGGGAAGTTAGGGATGGTGCAAAGGGAATGAGAAATACGCTGTTGGTCAGAGGTAGCCTGAGCTTGGATATATGGGACAGTGGGAAAGAGCTTGTGTTCAAAGCTGGTAAGAGAAGCTGAGGTGACAGGTTGGGCAGCACGGATGAGCAGTGACAACAGGAATGAGGTGCCATAGCACCATCTTGCCCATACAGAAAGGTATTTAGTGGTTTAGTTTTGTCTTATTTCTTTTCATGAATGTTTCTTTGAGATGCTGGGCTGTTTTTTCTCTTCCCTGCTCAAAAGAAGCAGCACTTTCTGGGATGTGAAGTTCTGTGTGATCCCAGCCACTTCAAGCAGCAGCATACATCACCCCAGATGGAGTTCTGCAGCTCGGTGGGCACACATCTGTCTGGGGTCTCCCATAGCCCATAAGCAGTGTGGGGTGCCGGGCTAACCAGGTCACCGGGGTGACTTGTAAAGCCCTCAGTGCGGTTCCTGCAGAGTGGGTGCCTGGGGCTGTGGGGCTGGCAGCTCCATTTGTAACTGCTACACCATCAATTTCAAGGTCATTCACAGGGGGGGGTTGCCCATAAAATAGACTTTGTAGTAGTGCTTTTATACTTGCTTTGGTTGCTTTGTAAGCAACATACATATGCATTCAGAACGGTTTCTTTTGTGGGCGCTCTGTGGCTTTTTAGGATTGCATGGCATTGTTTTGGAGAGTGGAGAGAGGAAAATACATAAACACTTTTACGTCATAAAACAAACCCAGGTTGGTTAATGGTTATTGATGGATAGCAAATGCTTTGTGATTTATGACAGAACAAGTCAACAGAGCATGGAGTCTTACAAAACACGTGGGACAGGTTGAGTAAGCTTGGAGCCTGGTTGGCAAGCTGGTGAAGTACAGATAATCCCAGTTAAACATGCTTAATTGTTGCCCTTATGTATATGTCTTCCATTGCTCAGGATCACGTTGCAGTTGTCATCTGGTGGTGATAAGAAGCACAGAGGCATTGCTACCAAAAGTGTTAGGTTTCTCTTAGGAAAAGGTGGTTTTCTCAGTGCCATGCAGTTTTTACCAGTGTGTAGTAGCATCATCATTTCTTGTACTGTATATAATACTGCCTAGTCAGCCCTACCCACTACTTGTGTATCACTGCCCAGCCTTGTGCTGACCAGATGAGTCATGTCATCACAGTAGCTTGGGCATAGAAAAAAAAATATTCAGAGCGCTTGCTTTGTCATAAAATTCTATTATAACAGTAGAAAAACCCTTCAGATTGAATGCAAGTCCAGGACGTAACAGAAGATGTTAAATCCACCCCTTAGGCTCCGTTGAAGAACAAGTGTGGCCATTTGTAATGCATATTTTACATCTTAGTTCTGTAGCATGATTATAGCTTTCATGAGTACTGCGTCTCTACTCTGGACACTTGTCCTACTTGATGTTCAAGAGATGAAGTCAAACCAGGCCTTGTGCTGTCTCGCCTGGACACCTGGGGTTCCCCTCACATCACCCTTTGCCTCTAAGCAAGAAGGAGCCGTGCTGAGCTGGGATTTCTCTGCTGGAAGCAGCACATCACATCATGGTCCATTCAGTTTCCCTGTTGTCCTTCATCTTGTGGTGTTAGCAGCATCAACACTAAAAGCTCTGCTCATCTCCTGAGCTCCGTGTGAATGTGATTCACTGGTACCAGATCTCGGCAGCTGGGAGCCCCTGGGTTAAGAAATGGGGCAAGCAGCAAGCCAGGAGCCTACAGCTCTGATAACTGAAGTCAGCTCTCATGTCTGGAGTTGCACCAGCAGCCATCTGAGTTGCAGTGGAAATAATCCCCTCTCTGCTTGCTTTTTTTTCTTGTGCTTTCACTGGGGGAGCCCGGGGCTGCCTGGGTCTGTTGGTGCCTCCAGCTGTAGATGACCAGATGAAGCTGTGTGGGCTGTGCTGTCCGGCCAGGCTGTCCCTGCTATCTCTTCCCAGAAACACTGGAGCCTTTGTCTCTGGCCTTATCGTGGCCCTGCCATCACAGAGCCCTGTCTGTGCTCTCCTCCCAGCACAGGCCTCTGTGTTCAGGGGTCTTTTCTTCAGCTGCGCTTTGTCTCTCGGTGTTTATTGTGCCTGCTGCAGAGTGTGTTTGTTTGGGAGAGAGGAGGAGGGGCTCCTGTTAGTGTGGGGTTTATAAACCTAGTGCATTCTTCAAAAGAGATGCTGAGCAAACTGCATGCTGTTAATATTAACCCTTCGCTGCCCTGCATTACTGAGAGAGATTTCCTTAACATGTAAAAAATGCTTTGGGAGGGTTATGAAGTTGCTTGCAGTGCAAGGCAGTAGCTACGCAGTTGTGCAGCAGGGAGTCTGCTCCCCCTTTGGCTTTAACAGCCCTTTGGTTTTCTGTGAATCTCTGCACTTGTGTATCAGCAAAGAAAGCCTCCCAAACATGGGGAGATGTAACCCATTCTAGGATTTCCCCTCAGAGTGCTTCTGGAACTTGCTTTTATTGTAAACGCTGGCTCACTCACCCTTTCTGTTTCCAAGACTGGCCCTTGCATCCTGTTTATGTGGCTATGTCAGGCAATATCTCTTCATTGTGACATATCTCAAAGCTTTATGGCGCTGTACTTTAGCACTTTTCCTTTTGAGTAAGGTCCTGAAAACAGGAATTTCTTAAAATCATAATATTGTCACTTGTAGTGGCATGTAATATAATACCTCCCCTTTGAACCACCTTCTTTAACCAGCTTAGTAATACTCTCATGGTTAGGATGGCTCTTACTCTTATTTCAGTACCCATGGTCCCATATTCCAAAAGAGAGCTTTGGAAGATGAAAATCAGCAACTCGGAAACTTTATTTCTCTTGTAATCACATAATGCTTTGCATTAAGTTGACTGGGGGGCAGGGGAGACCCAATAACCGAACAGAACAACATCAATTTCTAACCTCCGTTTGCTCTTTCTCTGTAAGAGGATGGGAATTTGTAACATGAAAAATCTCTCGTCCATCTCTGCAAGAAGCTGCAGCAACACAATTGTCCTAGTGTTAGAAATGCCAGGAGAGTTTTGTATTTCACTGACGCTGCAGTCAGCGTAAATGTTTCAGACCTTTTAAATGATGGTCTGCGTAAACTGAACATACCGCAAAATACATTGGCTTTAAGTGTGATAAAATACTCGTGATAAAGAGACACTGTTTTCAAAGATGGTATATTTTCTTAAGTTACTGAACTTTTCCCCAGAAATCAATTGGTTTGAATTCAGCATTTCACAAAGTAGTGTAAAGAATTTTTCTTTTCAAATAATTATTGTCCTGGTATTGGGAGCTGTAGTTGATACATTGCAGCAGCTACATCTGATATTATTACACTGGGAAAAAGTTCAGGAGACTCCGTTCATTGGTGGGGGGGTTGAAGAGGAAGAAATGCAAAATAATACAAGCCTTTGAAACATGAATCCATGCACGCAGTCATGACTAAACCTATTCAAACACTCAGGTGTTTGTTTTCCAAGGCTGCTCTACGCTCTAATGCTGTTATCTTCGACTTGTTTTCTTTATCCACTAACTCAATTAGCCTCATGTCTTTCTCTTCAAGGAACAGTTTCAGCTACAAAGCGCACAGGGATTCCAGCACCCCGGGAAGTATCATCATCCATATCCAGAGAGAGGGCTGTGTTGCGTGGTCAAGCCAACACAAGGAAAACGCAACCCAGCCCCACCTCTTCTGGTACACCGACTCCTACCAAACACGTGCGCCCCACCAGCAAGTCCAAGCAAGAGAATGAAACTGGTGACAAAGCTGTTCTGGAATCTCAGGTTAAAGAGCTTCTGGCAGAAGCAAAGACAAAAGATTCTGAAATTACCAAACTCCGTTGTGAATTGAAGAAATGCAAAGAGAAAGGGTCACTTAATGTTGAAGGAATGGGTGCTTCCAACCAAAATTTAGAAACGGTGTCGCCTGTTGGCATAGATCCATTAATACGGACCCTTCAGGAAAAAAACAGGACTTTTCAAAAAGAGCTTGCTAGCCTGGGAGAAGAAAATCGTGTTTTGAAAGAGAAACTGCTTTATCTAGAGAACTCTCCTGTCTCAGACACAACAACAAGCAGTGGAGGTGACAGCAGCCTCCCAACCCCAACTACCCAAGAATCCAGCTTTGGAAGCACATCAAAGCATGCATCGAGAGGTGAAATGGATGAGCACAGGCAGCACGTGAATGGGGGTGCGCTGCACAATTCGGGTTCTTCCAGCAGTGATGTAACTAAAGCTTCCTTGTCGCCTGATGCATCTGATTTTGAACATATAGCAGATGTACCTTCCAGACCAGCATCCTCCAACAGCAACCACTTCAAAGGCTCCAAATGCTCCACTACAGGAAGTTCTCCAAACAATATTAGTGACCTTTCTGTTGCATCTCTTACAGAGAGAATCCAAAAGATGGAGGAGAATCACCACAGCACAGCAGAAGAATTACAAGCCACTTTGCAGGAGCTATCGGATCAACAGCAAATGGTGCAGGAGCTGACGGCAGAAAATGAGAAGCTTGTGGAAGAGAAAGCTCTCCTGGAGACTTCCTTTCGTCAGCACAGAGACAGAGCAGAACAGCTGAACCAAGAAAATGAAAAGCTAATGACTCTCCTCCAAGAGCGATCCAAGAATGAAGAAAGCAGAGCGCAGGAGGGGAAGGTCCTTGAACTGGAACAGAAATGTGCAGAAGTTCTTGAAAAAGCACAATTTGAAAGAGAGAAATTGCTCAACATTCAACAACAGTTAACCAGCAGCCTACGAAGCTTAGAAAGGGAGCATCAAGATGCCCAGCAGGTGATTAAAAGCCTGAGAGAAGAAAATGAGAAGCTGCTTAAACTACTGGAAGTGGAACAGCAGAGCAACAGCACAGTGACAAAAACTCTGGAGGACTGTAAAATTGCCTTAGAAGGTCTAAAGATTGAGAATGGCTCCCTCAAAACTCAGTTAGAGAGTGAGAAGCAAAAGGCTGCAGAAATCAATGCGATGGGATGCACTACGGACAACTCTGAGGTGCAAGAGATGCTGAAAGTGGCCCATGCCGAAAAGGATCAGTTGGAAGCAGCTTGCACTGAGCTTAAGCAAGAGCTGCTGAAGGCAAGCAGCGAACTGAAGCACATTCAGGGTCTGCTATTGAAGGTACAGTGGTAACAGCTGTAAAATATAATGGTGGCTTATCTGTCCTTCCACAAATAGATAATTGTTGGCCTTTCGATTGTTATTGAGCCATTGATTATAAGTTTCCAGGATTTAAATTGCATTAACTGGTTTTGAATAGAAACTGGTGTCATATGATATTGTCCCTGCTGCTATATGCATATTTTCCCAGGAGTATCTGTTAGCATAGCTTGTGTTTGTAAATTCAAAACTAATTTCCCCTAGTGTCTTCTGCGGAGTTTGCTATTTTGGTAAATAAAATTGTGTTTATCAAAACTGGAGCAAGAGTAAAGGTTAAAAAAAATTACTTTGATATTATGTGAACAAATATTAGTGAAAATCAGTTGGTAATCCAGATAGAGAAGGGTATGAATAGTTAGCAGCATATATTAAATTCTGAGTAATTATTCATGGTTAATTAGTAGTGAACTACAGGTGTCATTCATCATGAGAACACAAAGGACATGAGCCAATGGTCAGGGAAACTGGGATTTACAGGAACTTGATTAATGATGCATGGTCAAGCTCCAGATGAGATTCTTTTCATAAAGTTAAAATACTTCTACAAAACTGAGTATTATTCTGGTTTGGGATAGATAAAGTAATGGTAAAAAAATACGTCTATTTTGGAATAGTTTTTCTCTCACTTCCAAGTAAGTTCCCAAGCAAGCTTGAGTCGATTACTGTTTCTATTTTGTGTGCTCCTGGATGTTCAGAAGAGAGCTGCAGTGCGAGGTCATAGAACAACCGTTATTAATGCACAGGCCAGTGAGTATGTCCCACCACTGTGGAGAGTGTTGGTCAGTGTGTGCAGCCTTTGCTGTATGGGGAAGGGATCGTGAGAGGAAGGGTAAAGGTGGTTAGTTGCAGAGGAAGAGTGCATTGCCAAAAAGCACCTCAGTGGTTTGAGTGATTTAGAAAGTCCAGATGTCTTTTCAGCTTAAATAGGTGACCACAGCCAATGGAGTTCATAGAGGAAGCTCCCAAGTTGCTTTGCTAGAGCTGCAGTTTATGAAGAATAAATAAAAAACTGCTGAATACTCAGACTCTGTACCAAACTTTTATTGCCTGGTTTTGAAACCACACATTTCCTCCTTTTTACTATTCCTTTCCCTCGAACTAAGCTGTTTTGTATCATTGACTGTTTGTGACACCCAAAAAAGACCACAGGCTTCTGTAAGGCTGCCCTTCAGTCAGGCTGTGCCAGTGCTACTCACTGAATTGGCAGCCTACATCTCACATTTCCATAACTTGTTTGTACTCTGAGATCTCCCCCAAACCTGGAAGCACAGATCTGTGGGCCTGGGCCAACAGATTGAAGTGCCGCAAATTCTCCCTTCAGTAATTCCAGATGTCCTATATCCAGAAACTCTACTTATCTGCAGTAGCTAGCTCTACTATGTCTGTTTTCACGATCCATTGAAAATGCACATGGCAAAGGCAGCAGAATTATCAATGTGGATGAACTGGTCATCATCTTGGCCCTAAGGCCCACTCTCATAATTTGATACGTAAATAGATGTGGAGCTTTCTGGGAATATAATTCCTCTCTGTTCGTTATCTGCAGAGATTGGTTTGGAGTTATGATCATCATCTAGAAAATTTAATTTCCTTTGTAGTATCGTGTCTTATCTTTATGACTAAGAAAGAAAACCGACTTTCATAGCTCATTTATGTTTCCTGAAACTGTCTCATTTGCATTCTCAGTTTATGCAATGCTTAGAACACGGGTTCAATTCTTAAGTCCATGAGATGATCACCAAATTCTTTGAGAGGTGTCTCTTAAGAAATAAAGAGAGACTTGCAGCTGCCTTTTTACCTTCCAGGCTGAGAGCGAATGTGGTCAGCTGAAGGAGGTGTGTGACCGGCAGGCTGAGCAACTGAGCAGAACCAGCCAGAAGCTGCAGGAAAAAACATCAGAGACTGAAGCGGATATAAAAAACCTGAAGGAGACCATTTTTGAGTTGGAGGACCAGGTGGAACAACATCGTGCTATAAAACTTCACAATAACCAGCTCATCAGTGACCTAGAAAGTAGGTGGAGCTGAGAAAAATATTTCAATGAACTTATTCAGCAGGTTCAGTTATGGCTGCAACAGGGAGAAGGAGGCAGCATGTCTTGGTATGAGTGACATGGGCCTTACTTTATAAGGATTCCAATATTGGCCAATCCAATTGTTCATGCACAGAAGTCACTATTTTAAGTTAGTGCTACAGAAATAATATTAGAGACAGTCCTCAAGCCTCACTCTTCAGCGAAGGATGTATTGCCCATGCTAGAAACTGGAATTAATTGGCCTTTTAAAGAGCTTTTAGGGAAAAGCACCAGTAGGAGCAGTAAGGTCGCAGTTGCTGTGGGGTGTGGAAGGGGAGCTGCCACCTGGTGGCATGAGTGGTGCGTGTCCCTTACCAGTGTTACCCGAGTGCTCCAGGGGTGTGTGTAAGTGATCCTGCACATGACATTCTGTAAACTTAAAAGTCTGGCTTAGTGCCTCAAAATAATGACCTATTTCAAAGCTGTTCAAGTTACAGATCTACTGTTGATTGCATTCTCAGTTAATTGACAAAATACTTTAATTTCAGTTTAGTCTATTTAGTGGCGTTACTAGAAGCAAACCCAAATAGGCTGCTCTGCCCTCCTGTTTTCATTTTCCACCCTTGCCCTTATCTATTTAATTATCTTTTCCCTTTTTTACTGTTCCTAGGTAAAGCAATGAAGCTGGAAGAACAAAAGCAAGATGCAGAGAGGCAGCTGAAGGCTCTGACTAAGCAAATGAAGGTAAGGCTTAGACTCCAGGACAAAGCTGGGAGGTATTCTATTTTTCTAGAACAATTGTAGAAAGTTCTTTCTACAACCTTTCATTCTCCATTCTCTTCACTCATTTCTAGCTGTTGCTTTGCCTGTGAAAGAAAAATATAATATACATCCTTTGCAAACTACTTTTGCTTTTTCTGCCTGTGAACTTCTGCCACTTTGAAACAGCTGTTCCTGCTTCAAGAATCATCAGTAGCAATGAGCTCTCTTCAGCAGCAGTGCTTGTAGTAGTGTTGCAAGTCTGAATGATCAGTAGCTATAGGAAGAACTTTGGTTGTGCTTTTTGTATTGGAGTGGAGAGCTTAGCATCAGTTTCTTCTTTGTCAATCTCGGTACTGTGTGAAGAGGCAAGTATTTAGCTTGACCTCAGCATCGTCCTGAAACTATCATGAAATCCTGGTCACTTGTGATCACTGAAAGGGAGGTCAGTAACTAAGTACTCAGCTCAAGTAGGTGCATTTTTACAGCAAACAGTTTGGGGTTCTTATTGCTCTTTCTAGGAAGATACAGAAGAGTGGAGGCGTTTTCAAGCTGACCTGCAGACTGCAGTGGTTGTAGCCAATGATATTAAGTGTGAAGCCCAGCAGGAGCTCCGTGCGGTAAAGAGAAAGCTTCAGGAGGAAGAGGAGAAGAGTGCCAGACTGCAGAAGGAGCTGGATGAAGCGAAGGGCAGCAACAGGTTGGTTATTTACAAAGGCCAAGATTTGATCTCTGTGACTGCTAACATGCATGCAAACAGTGCTTTGTCAATAACTATTCATTGGCTTGATGTGCACGTTGTCTGTTTTTAACTCTTCTGACAGATTTTGTTGTCTCTTATTCTAAGATGTTCCTGTTCTTTTTGTTGATCTAGTTCTGTTAACTAGGCCATGAATGTTTTAATCAGCAAATATTAAGTAATAACGATCGCCAATATCCTCTTATAGCTTTGTTCTCAGTATGGTATTCCACTGTGTTTTATTGCCTTCATAACTCTGTGCAGCTGTGTTAAACCATCTGTGAAAAGATTGGTTGACTACATATATTCAATGGGACATCCAGAAGAGAATGACTTAACCTGAGAGGTGTCAAGGACTTTATATGTTCAAATTAAAATGAGGACTAGCTGGACTTCTCTGTTCTGCTTGTCTTCTACGTGTTGACTGAGTGATCAGTGCAAGTACTAGGATTCCTCCTCTTGCATCTTCTGACCTTAATTTGATACCTGTTATATGGTTAGTGGTGTTAAATTGTTTGGAGTGTGGCCTGGGTTAGCATTTAGCCCAGAAGTGACCTTGTTGTGCAGTGGACCCAGCTGTAAAAATTGCTGTAGTCTCAGTGGTTGGAGAGAGAACAGTAACTGTGAACCGTTCAGAGCTATTAACCCAGCATGGTAAGCTGTGTGTGGGTCTTCCCTCTGTGGGAGCATGTAAGAACAAAAGTGACTTTTACAATTGAATCTGGAACCAGCAGAGGGAGATGCCTTACATGTGGCTTTTATGCAGTGCATGACCTTTTATGTATCACCTTTCATTCCAAAAATCATACTACAATTGCAGTACTAAATAGGAGAGATGGGAAACAAAAGATGTATTAGAAGGAAGGACTAAAATTTCTAGATAACAGTGCTCTGCTCTTTTTTTTGCATTGACACAAGCAGAGCTGCAGTGACAAAAGATTGTACAGGGGAATGAAGAAAGACAAAATAACACAAACAGTGGCACTGTTTATCAAAAGTGTGTGCCAAATTAATTTTGCTCCTCTAGATTTTTCCATTGAATCTCTCTCCTAGCAGATTCGTGGGCACTGGTAGGATAGCCACAGGAACACAGCGAGTCCTGTAGTTTCTTTCGGGTGGAGTTACAGTCCAGCTTTTTTCCACATATTTGCTCACTGTTTTTCATTCAGGAGTTTCCACAGCAGCTGTGCAGTAGATGGGAGTAAAAAGATGGGAGGGCTCTTGTGCAGAGGTGTATGGGGTCAGAATTCCTGCATTAAAGGAAGGGAAACTCTTCTTTTCAGAAAAAGGAATGTGTTTAAGCTCCAGTTTCATTATCAGAGTCCCAAGTGAATGCAGAGTAAACCTATTACAGACTCTGTATTCAGACAAAATGATTACCAGACAGTACTTGAGTTCTGGGCTCTGTTTCCATTCCTAATTTGTTCTTAATGAAATTTCTCTTGTTTAGAGCAGAGTCCATATATAAGGGCAGGAATCCTGTACTTGTATTTATTCTTTTGTTGCTGTTTTTTTTTCCTGAATCTGAAGATGTATTTAATAGTACTTAAATTGAATAGAAGATGACCTGCTCATTTTTGCAAACTGGGATATTTATCTTCCATGTATAAGGGACGTGGCTGCATTGTCAACCCTTTGGCATTAGAAGCCTGGGCTGCAAATACTGCTTTTGAAATTAGATCCCTGAAATCCATACATACGTAGTTCCAGAAGGAGGTATTCAGACATGTATTTAATTAGGTGAATTTTGGCATTTGTCTTTCCCTCTCTTTCACATGCATATAGATACATGTCTGTCTTTGCGTCATGTTGACTATCTGTGGAGTTTGCTTTGAGCATTATGTTGGTCATGGAGCCAGATATACTGTCTGCAGTGGGAAATACTTAGTCTCTTTCAAAGACAGGTGTTGAGACCAAATTTTGCATCTCTCAGTTTAGGAATAACTAATTCAACTCCCAGTGTCCATGCAGAGAGTGCGAAATTTCTGTTCTGAGTGGTATGGAGAAGATAGTGAATGTAAGTCATCGCCTAAACAAACCAGTGACCAACAGCTGAGCACTGAAGTTTTATAACTATACTGACCTATAAAACAAATTCTTGAAGTCACCAAAGCTCTTGCTGAGAGCCAGCTCTCCTCTGTTATTTTTGCGTTCCTGAGGTCACTGTCTTTCCCAGCACCTTGGCTTCTTTCACCCAGAAAGTTTTGGGGATATTCTCATCGTTGCTTTCAGTCAGTTTTCACAAATGCCTCTGCTCCGAATCAGCAGTAGATTCTTGTACCTGCAGTGACTTTTAATGCATGCTCAGCACTGGTGGAAACAGTTTGTAGTGTGATACCTTAACACGGTATAAAGTATTCCCCATATTTGCTAATGCTGAGCAGCTGTGCACTCAGCTGTGTATCTGACAGTCCCTAGTGAAAGTTTCCTGTCTGATTTTTAAGTGCTGATTGGAAAATGTACCTTCGAAATAGCTTGCTCCTCTCAAAGGTTTTTGGCAAAATCTCACCCATCTCCTGAGGGTCATTTGACTCCACCTCATAATTTGATCTTGAAGCCCATTTATCTCCTACAACATCCTGCCATTTAAATGTTTGCCTGTGGCTGCGTCAGCTCCTGCCTCCAAGTTTGATTTCTCCGTTACGTTCTTCTATCAGACAAAAAGTCATTTTTGGTTCAGGAACAACCAAAGAACTTGCAGAAAAAATCCTGATGAGGTCATCAGAGTTCATCTGAATGAAGGTAAGAGCCTCCCAAAGGCATCTTTAACACAGATTAAATGTCTAATTCTATGGCTAAGAATGTTGGGGGGAGGTTGGACGAGCACCAAACAAATGGAATGAGGGAGAGAGAAGTTAACTTGTCCCAAGTTAGTAGTAATTGAAACCTATAAATCGATTCACCCATGTTTCAGACAGTCTTCTGTGATATTTTACATCCTAATTAATGTTATCTCTCTGCAGTAAAATGCAGAAGCTTACAACCCACTGCTGTGTGACTGCCTCCTCACAGATGGTGGAAATTGAAGTGATATAACCTCCATCCTTGGAGGTTTTAAAGACCAGACAAGATAAGGCCCTGTGTCACCTGGCCTGATCTCATAGCTGACCCTGCAGGAAGTTGGACAAGGTGACTTCCTGAGGTCCCTTCCAACATGAATTATCTTTTGATCCTCTAGCAAATTTCATCTTTTCAGAACACTCACATTGGAAATAAGTTCATTTTTATAGCTGTTTTAGGATCAGATATTTAAGTGGTGGGGGAAAAAATGCTACATTGGGTTTGTAACACAAAGGAAGAAAGTAATTGCTGAAAGTACCCAAATTATGGGCAGCCCTTTCTGGCTTCATTACACACCCTTTTCCAAGCCTTTCTGGCAATGCACTGTTTAGCAGTAGTGAAAGTTTCAAAGGTCTTGCTTTGACGCTTTCCCTTGAAGTTCTCATAATTATTTTGGCACTGTAACATTTTGTGCCTTGAACCAAGAACATGGAGGCAAGACTGTTGGGCTGGGAGTAGTACTTGGAAAACATGAAAATTATATCTGTGATTAAATGAGCAACTTCTTGGAATAATAAAATAATTAACCAAATCTTCAATCGGAAGCCTAACATGAAGATTGTGATGTATCCCACTAATTTGCTTCTGTTCTTCCTTCTGAAGTTTCAAATGCCACAGCATGGCAGTGTTACATGCTTTTTCTCCTGGAAATAAGCTTGTTACTCTGTGTCTTAAACCCTGCTGTCAGTCTGTATGTGCTGATGTGCTGCTCATGTGTGCCTGTGTTTTGCAGCTGTTCTGTCTTACAGATAATTTGTTCTGCTCTCACTGAATATAAGCAAACCACAATGTCAGAGCAGGGTCCTTGATGCTATTGTTTGCTCTAGTTAGTGACTTCTCAGAGTTGGTTCAGGTCTTTTTGACACCAGATGGAGATTATTCCATCCTCTTTGGTGTAAAAACCCTGAAACCTCTTGACTGAGGTAGAGCAGCTCTAGTTGCCTGGACACGTTCATGTACCCACCTTGAATGAACAGTCCTAAATGATTATAGGAGAGGAAAGCCAGGAACACTGTCATCCCTGTCCTTTGAAATTGGTTCCTTGGCTTTAAATACTTGATTTCTTCCTATCTGAGCAACATAGATTTTTTTTTTGTATTTTGTATTGTTTGCTCATCACATCCAGAAGCTGAGTTAGTGGAGTGTTAAGGTACTCCTTTAACTGTCCTAGCAACACACATCAGCATTTTTCTGATGTCTCTCCTTTATTTAGTGATGATGGGATGATCAACTGTAAATAGCTGTACCTCAGGGTGAGCATTGTATTGCTTGGTATAACTGCCCTGATTGTTGTCTGTATCTCCATAGGTGCCTGATCTCTACCAGCTAACACAGCCTTGAATGGATGCATAGCCAGGCCTATGAGACTCTTCAGGACATACCTTCAACTTGCAGCTGAAAAAGGGAAGTTTCAATTCAAGAAAGCACTTCCAGTTTTTTATTGTTCTACAAAAGCCAAGTGTTTTGCAAAGTGTGAATCCTGCTCAGGTCCACGTCCTCCCCATGGCCAAAAGCCTATTTATTTGTTTCAGAAGGCTTCTCTCTTCAGAAGACTCCATGAGGTGGAAATATTTTTGAATTAGTCTAAAGCCAACTACGCCATAAGAAGTCATCACAAAGATTTGAGGAACTGAAATAACTGAAGGCTTTTTTTGGAGGGATGGGGGTATTTGCCCTGAATCAGAAATTCAAAGATGCTATTTAAGCTTAAGCAAAAAAAAAAAAAGCACAGTGTATGTCTAATTTTTAAAACTTAATGTGCATACACATTATGAGTTCTCCATATAGTGTTATATTCATAGATGTATGTGCGTGTGTCTAAGTACATGTATGTGTACGTACACACACTAACTCAAGTACTAGGCTACTGAAACCAGCAGGAAAAGTGAATAGAAATGCACAGTTACCTTTTGGTGTCAGCTGCTTTGGTTTCAGTTTTTTAATAACTGTACTGACAAGGCGCTCACCACTGGGTGGCATGTCTGACTGTGTGTGTTAGGAAGCAGGGTGATGTCCAAGGAGCATGTCCTGCTATGACTTTCACAGAGAACGTCCCACGTGAGGTTTGTCCTGGCTTTGAGAAGTGCAGATGGAGAGTTCAGAAGGAAAAGAAATTAAGATATCAAACTCCTAGTAAATATCCTCTCAGAAAGGAGTCTTTCTTGTGCCCTTAACTCAGGTGAAGCGTATGATCAGGGAGAACTTGCACAAGTTCAGCTTTGCAACTGGAGACGCCTGGAGAGAGCTTTACTTGGATACTAAGGAGAAACTTGGAAGTCACCATCTCTACCAGGAGCTCATCAGGATTCACTCCAGGACTGGAATTTCATGTTTTGGCCGTGGGATTCCCGTCCTTTCCTCCTGGATGTGAAGACCTAGCAAGGGCCTGGTCTCAGAGCAGGCTGAGCCAGTAGAGAATTCTGCGGGATGTCCTGGCTTTGGCATGGCCTTCACCTTTGTGCCGTGCTACTGGAGTGTATGCATATATGCACACTTGTGTTGCCTTTCTTTTCTGTGCTGGCAGCTGTTGAATGTTGGTTTCTATGTTTAAGAAATATATACTGAAGTGCCAAATAAATGTTTAAGTGTCTGGAATTGTCTGCTGCCTGCCCTTGGCCTCTCTTCTGTTCTGTGCATCAGTAGCTATGTGTCTCTCCTTTGTGTCCCTTGGAGTTCAGGAGGATTTACAACAATGACAGGAACTGTGTCAAAAACTAGACTGCAGAGTAATTACTTGTGAAAAAATGGTTCTGTGGTCCTAGGCCACCTGAAGGCTGCTGTTGCCAAAATCTGTACATTAAGTACAGAAAAACTTGGTGGTGGTCTGTTGTCAACATATTCCAAACCCAGAAAACAAGGAGACCAGCTCTGGTCGTTAGAGAAAAGCTCACTGCATCTACTTCTCTCACCAATGAATGAATGAAACTAGACAGTGGTTTTGTGAGAAGGAGTGTGCGTTTTAATTCCTTTGTGGCTAAAGTGCTCTGCTTCCTCCTGGAGCTGCTCCACGTAAGCCAGCTGCACTTGCAGCATTTATCTGTGTAAACCATTCATTCTTGTTTCAAGGCAAGCATACAGCAGGAGATGACATTTTGTTCAAATCCATCCTTTTTGTAGCAGAGCTTGCTTAGTCTTCTTGGATGGCCTAAGCTATACTAAGCTGAGAATATTCTGTGCACAAAGAGTAATTTTTAGCTTGAATTTATGGCTTGCCATTAGTCTAAGTCATGTTCTCCTATACTGTCCTCCTGAATTAGCTTGCTATTGCAAGATGCACTCTTACTCTTCTGGTTCTCTATTAAGAAACCCATACGTGTATGTATACGTACCTGCATCCCCTTATCATATAGATATTTCTCTTTAAAAATGGAAGGTACTCGCCAAGTTTCATAACTCCATTGCTTGTTGGCTGGCATGTGTAATTTTAGTTGAAGCTAATGGGTCTCAGCACTATTCTTCCTATGTTTCATGCCAAGGTTTGCAGCATGAGCAGCCTCAATTATCTGATGTGATTGTGTGTAATTTAGGAGGTTGTTTCAGGGTGCATTAGAAGCCTGTTACGAATATACAAACTTAAGACTACAGGAAGCATCCTAACAAAATTGGAACCGGCAGTAGCTCCAGTACTTTTATCTTCCTAATTACTCTGTATGACAGAATAATGGCGTGTGATTTTGCAGTGGACTTTTCTGTGGCACGGCATAGGGGCTGGTCTAGTTCCTCTAACTTTATTTAATATGTTTGTATCCTTTTGCAATCAAAGGCTAAAGTGAGGAGATTAGTCTGTGATGTTTGAGCTGTTCTCAGAGTTGAATCCTAGCCAATGAAGTGATGGCTGCCTGGAGCATACCTCTGTCTTGTTTTAGTCTCAAGGTTTGCCAGTTGGGCTACAGACATTTACTGTTCCTTTCTTACTCTGATAATAGTCCACAAACCTTGTGTGTACCCTCATTACCTGGATAACTAAATGGAACTCTTGCATCATGGCCTATTTAATTCTTGAAAGTGTAATGAATTGCATTGAGTGGCTTGGTATGCTGAGGGAGAAATCTATCCTTCCTCCATACTTTTCTTGAAGCACAACTCCTTTAGCTTTTGTGCTTTTGTATAACTTCAGGGCAAGATGCTATCACCTGTTGATGTGTTGTTCATGCTTTATGAAGCCATAGAAGAAAAAGTGAAGGGTAGAACTTAGTGTTCCATCAGAACTCAGTGAATCTTATCCGATCTGCCTTTTCTCCTTATTGGATTAAATGGAGAAGGGAACTGAAATGGCTTTTTCTCCAGCCATCTGCCTCCGCAGGCTCCTCTGGCACACAAGGAGCTTGAATGAATTAGCAAAGAAATAGCCAATGTCCGCTTAAAGACAGCACCTCCTTAAGCTCTGCCAAAAATAGAAACATGAGTCACTCTTATTCTTTTATTTACTGACATCCTTTAGCCCCTTGCGTTTTATAGACTGTGATGCCAAAAGGGAAAGAAAAAGACTCTGACTTTTATTTTTAGCTCAACAAAAGTTGTTCAAACCTATTGACATTTTCCAGATTAAGTCCTCCAACCTTCTTATGAAGTAATTTCTGGTTTTGCATTCACATGGCTCTTGGTTCCTACTGTATTTAAAACTAGAGGAAAGCAGTGATACCTCAGAACCTGTAGATCAGCACGCATTTATTAAGCAGCTAGGAGATCAGGAAAGTAATGTGTAAATACTCTCTTTTTACATGACTAGACTTTGTTATCTAATTACAGCTTTTCTAAACTAAAGCTAGGTAATTGCACTCGAAGTCTGCCAGAGAGCTACCAGGTAAGTACAGTGTCAGTGCTAAGCAATGTCAGCCAGATCCATAAAATGCATGACTAGAAGCAACAGTTACACTGTATGATTGCATTTGCTGTTTAACACAGCTGTGGACTTTCCTGTACTAATTCCTGCAAGTCTAGCACCTAATCTTGACTTCAAAATTTATTTTCAATGGAGAAACTTAATGATCTTTCCTGTTTAAATATGATCCTTATTTCTATTTTGAGTTTGTCTATCTTTATTCCAGCCATTGAATTTTGGTATTCTTGTGGCTGCTAGAATGAAGCACTTAACAGTTTTTTATTCTCCATATAACTGCTTATGGATTGCGATCGAGGGTTTACTTGTTCAGCAGATGTAAGCTGTAAGAGTTGAGTTTCCAAAGTTTTTTATTATGAACTGTGTTTTCTGGTTTAATTATTACAGCTCTTATCTGAATCCTGTCCAATTACTTACTCTATTTTAAATTATGACATTTTAACTGGTAACAATTACTCCAACAGTGGTCATGCCAATTGAAAACATAAAGTGTAAAATAACATCTTTCTCTTTGGTTACTTTCCTCATTATACACTGAGGACCACAGTAGCCCCTTGGCCCTTGTGCTGTATTGAAAGCCCACCTTCAGGTAATTATTGACGATTACTCACAAGGCTCATCAAACTGCTTTTTTTCTATTATAATGCTCCATCCTGTGTGAGGATGGGGAGTGGGGATGATATGGTTAACAATGCAGCAAAGATTGTTAGATTCAATGATTTGATGTTTGCCAGGCACTCTAAGGAAAGAAAATGACCATTCTAATGAGTGGTCATCTTCTGGGCATTACAATAAAAGATATGCATCGTTGGATTCGCCATACTACATATAAAGACCTTAAATCTCTGCTTGCACTTCCTGTTGCCCCTGACTCTGGTCTGGTTTCTGCTTTGCAGGCTGACAGCTGAAGAGGTAGAATCTCTAGAGGCAGATACAACCAACCGCTGGCAAGGAGTCTGCATTAGCAGAGCATCTCCCACACCGTCAGAATCTGCAGCCACTGTGAAGTCGCTGATAAAATCATTTGACTTAGGATGCTCAGGTATTTGAACACTGTATTTCATAGTATTTTTTTTTCTAACAAGTAATTTTTGCCATTTTATGCTGCTTCTTGCTGCTTAATGCATATTTTCTGTCAGTGCTTGGTACATAAATACTACCTGTGGAATGTCACTACAGCAGTGGTTCCCTGTTCTGACAAGAGGGAGCTATTTGAGTTTTAAGTGCAAATGTATCCACATTTTTTCCTTGCAGGTAGCACTGGACAAAATATCACAGTTCACAAGGTCCCCAGGAGCCCTCTAAGTGGAATTCCAGTGAGGACAGCCCCAGCAGCTGCTGTTTCCCCCATGCAGGTACAAGGAGTTCTTTCCATCCTTGCAGTTTTAAAATGAATACATACAGTGTTTGCTACAGCATGACATAGCTTCAGCACACCACCATGCATATGTTGACAAGGGGAAGGGGAAACTCATCTGTTTATTTGCTGTGAAACATCAAATGCTCTAGTACTAACAAAAAGGATCAAAGTGAATTTGTCTTTGACTTCAGTTTAGAGGTCTCAGTGAACGGATGTGAACTCTTTGGAATACAATTCTGAACTTTAATCACTGTTGACCAGAAAACAGGTTTCGATTATTGGGAGTGAGTTTCAAGAAACATCGAACTAAACTAGGCAGCTGGCATGTGAGTTGAGAGACAAGGGATAATAAGTTTCTAAGCTGTATGCTTCCAGTTATCCAGTAAGTTCATACAGTGCTGAATGAAGAGCTCTTGCAGGTTTTTTTTTCCTACAGAAATATAATTGTCCTGGAATGTAGTACTTATGTCACTGCACCAGTCACTTGACTTCTATTAGCTATTTTCAAATCGGTGATGCAATGTTATTGGAAATACTGCTTTTTTTTAAATGATGAAGAAGCAAATGCACCATGCTTCCTGGTTTCAACATATGTTGAAGGTGGCAAACTATCAGACTGTTGACCTTTCTAGGCTAGAGAAGCCATTATATGGCTTTTGACTTGGTGGTCACTGGACTTAAAACAGGATATTCCCTTCTGAATCTGGGTAAAAAAACTAACTGAGGCTAAGGTGTTTAGGTGAGTGAAGAATGAAGTTACTTTGAAAGACTACTTAGGAAATGTGCTCACATAGTTCTTTCAAAGAATCAGCAAAAGAAGTTTAAAGAATGGGATTAAACAGAGCTTTGGGAACCTTCTGTTAATAACTGGCTGAGGATGGGGTATTAATGCTAAAAACTGGTGCTGGGGCTGCAGACACAAGAATCCTTCTGACTTAGGATTCAGGGTGCTGTGGACAGAGGCAGCATTAGGAGGAGGCATTCTTACTTTGGGTTTGTGACGCTAGATTATGCTTGGCAAGAGAAAAAAAGATGCAAATAGAAATGTGGTATAGTTCAGGAACCGATACATTACTAGTTAAAAATATTGCCCCTTTGTCCTTTTATTTTTCACAACCATTTATCCAGCTCTACATACAGCTGATACCTTGTTGAAAGCTTTCTGTATCCCTCTGGCTGCTTTGTGATCGTGAGAGGGCAGAAACTTACCTTCGTTCTGCTTGCCTATTTAAGCACCATGGCTATTTTTTATTTGTCTCTTGTATGTTTGTTTCACAGAGACATTCTGTTTATAATAACGCCAAGCCAGCCAGCAAGGGTGTTTCCAGACACACAGATCTTTCAGACCTTCCTCTTGCAGGTAAGTTGCTGTAAGTGTACAAGTGTTGGTTCCTTTTACTAGCAGAAGTTTGTCTGTCATTAACTGTTGGCCTCTGCCTGGGCCATTTTTCCTCTTCTCGTATGGTCAAAGGAAGCATGAAAAAGTGCCTTCAGAGTCTTTGTTTTAGAGAGCTTATTAATTTTGCCACGTTTCCATTCCCATCTTGTTCGTAGCCTTAGAAAACTAAAAAAATAGCAGATTTATTATGCTTTGCCAATACAAACTTGCCTTCTTTATTCTAAAGTATTCGTGGCACCTCTCTAATCCATGCTGTGGAACTGGAGAGGATTGGATTTTGTTCCACATCTATGTATCTGGAACAAGCCCAAAGCACTGTCTTCTGAGGGTTTATTTGTTTTTAAATTGAGCTTCATTTGAAATACATCAAACATTTCAGATATCCATGTAACTGTTTTAGGAGCAGTCATATTTGGGCTCAAAATAGTTTGTTTTGAGAGCTCTCAAGAGATGCGTTTGTTTTTATTTCACACTTTCCTTTTGTTCTCTTGTCATTTAATATTCTCTTCTACCAGTGTTTGTTTCCCATTTTCTCTAGGGCCCTTTATTTTGATTATCTAGTCCTGAATGTAGTTGTTGCATTGGAATCAAAGCTAGTAACAACAGATTATTGAATTTTTAAGGACAGATGAAATATTATAGTCCTGTAGTGAAACCTCAGTGAAACTCCAGGGAGCGACAAAAAAATTCAGTCACAACTTCTTCATTGGTAGGCTGGATTTTCTGCACTATTTTGATAGTAGAGGAGAGAAATTAGAACCTGTCTTCATTTTTACACTCTTCAAATAATCTGCTAAACTTCCCTTTCCATCATTCAAAGATGAAGAGATACTGGATCTGAACAACAAAATAGGTTATAGTATAAATGGCAGCGTAAACAAATAACATCTTGTCTGTGCTGCTGGCTTCTCCCGCACAAGTAAATGCTAAGCAAACAGAAGTTATCACTAAAACAGAGCTTACTTATTTGTATCACTTGGTTTCCAGAAAATGTCTTGTATGAGTATACAGTGATCCTAAACAGAACTTGAGACCTTTTTAATATCTACCAGTTTACAGTAAAGTAATCTGTGAACTGTGTAATACAATGCCAATCCTTAATAATAAATGTACCACTTCAAGCCATGGATAATTGCTATTATTACCCATAGACAATTGTTCTGTGAAAATCTGTTGAAATCAACAGATACTTTATAAGCCTTCATATGGTAAAAATTTATGGTTGCTTATCTAACAAGTTCCTGTATTTACAGCTTGGTTTTGTACCTGGGTTTAATTTAGTTCCAATAATCCATAGCAAAGGCTTTACTCACTATAAAGTTGTAATAGCTCTGGTTCCAATCTAAATAATCCTAGAAGGCAGTTGATCCAAACCCTATGCAAACAACAGTGAATTAAAAATTATCCCCAAGGAAATTCAGAGTGAAGTAGTCTCCATAATAATAATCTTCTGGCTGGTTCCATCTGAACAGTATCACAGCAGGGTTCTGTCGTGTCCTTAATATGACCCAAACGTTACATCGTTGGAGAGGAGAACGGATTACTCTGCAGAGAGTGCTGATCTTTGGCTATGATCTTTTCAGTTAGAAATGGAGATTTACTAGTTCTGTCCTGGAGTTTCTAGCAGCCAGAAATAAGTCAAAGGAAGTCTATTACTCAAGCCAGTGGCACTCAGAGTACAAAACTGGATACTATTAACTTGCGCCGCTTCAGGCACTACTGTATAATTCAAGTCGGCAACTGCACGGTTCCTTTGAATAGTGCAGACAGGTACTGCTAACAGAATGTGATTTTCCTTAATCACGTTGCAAATTTTTAATAATTTGAAACTATGAAAATTTGAGGAGATTATATTGAGAGACAATTTAGTATCTATGATCTCTTTGGCTTCTCTTCAAAAACCTGTCAACATTGGATTCTATGGCTACTAATTTTGTTGATTATTTTTTGTTTATATACATATACACACGTATAAGATATATATTATAAAATATGTAATGTGTAATGAAAGTATAGATGCATCTGCTATGAATATACTGAGACTTCCAAAGTCCTGTTATGTATTATCATGTGATAAGAAGTGCTTTTTACTGCTCCTTGCGATAGGTTATATTCAGGTGACGAGAGGCTTGCCTGTTACACATCTGCTAATGGCAGAAAAGAAATTATTGTAGTAGGGCTGGTCAGTCATCTGGTGAAGATATGTGCTGATCGACTTTTGAACCCTTAAGACTGTAGATTTTGGTATTTCCCTTCATTCACCTGAGGCCCCTACCCCCCAGCAGGAGTATCAATCACAGGAAACCAGGCAGTCTGTACTGTTGAAATCATCAAAGCCGTTCCTTGTTATGATCACCTCTAATCTGCTCAAGGTTTCCTAGCCCCATGTGTGTTTAATGAACAAATGAGTACATTTGTTTAGAATCAAAACAACAGACTACATATTGTGTGCTGGGTGGCAGGACAGTGATTAATCAAATTCCTCAGGCTGCAAACTGACAGCTCTTTTTTAATTCCCACAGACCTTCTGAAGGGGAGAAATGAAGAGCTGAAACCAGACCATTACCTCCGTAAAAGCCCCTCCCTGGAGTCCCTGAGCAAACCCCCTATGGCCTTCAGCAGCAGAATGCTTACCTCTACCCCCAGCAGCTTGAAACCCCAAAGCAAACTCAGGTACCACATCAGTTTTCTGGGAAAAACAGCACACTGGAAAGATGAACAGCATTACCTGGCACCAAGATGAATAATTTAGACTGGTGGACCCCTGCCTCCAGGGAAAACTCTGCTGGCTAGTCTGTCTGGTCCAGAATTACCAGACTGTGTCAGATTTAAATATAAAAATTCAGATTATAATAACCACAATTATCTGTAAAATGAGCAGTCATGACAAAATGAGGACAGCAAGTTTTCAGGAGCCACTCAGTTGGATACAAGAATTCCAGGATGTATGAGTGGTCAGAGGTCAGTGGTCTTTGAGATCCAAGAGAAAACCAGACACATAATTTTCTTCTGTCTTGAAAAAAACCATACGTATTTTCCTCTGATCTCCACCGTTATTTCCAACAGTAGAAGCTGTAGGGTGGAGAAAATAGGGGTGTTTTGATTTAACTGTCCTCTAGGCTTTGACTGCAATACAGCTTCCAGGATTTTCAGTTTATTCAAGAACTTGTTCTGCAGCAGCTCAGTTGATGATGGATTTGGTGTTACTGATTCTTTTGATAGTTTCTTTCAACTGTACACCCTAAGTGCTAGTTTTGATTTATTTGCATGCAGTGATACCAGCTGTATTTGTCTCATCTAAAGGCAAATACAGAATGCAAGCTCTGAAAGCTATTGCAGTTTATTTTCCATTTAGGTTTTCTGCTGCCAATCTGCTTTGTCATACAGATATTATTTACACGCTGGTAAAAAAATAAGAAACTAAGCGTATTTATCTTCTTCTCCTGTATGCTTCCCTGGATTAGCGTGGAGAGGAAGGACCCACTGGCAGCCCTGGCTCGGGAGTATGGTGGTTCAAAAAGGAATGCTCTGTTGAAATGGTGCCAAAAGAAGACTGAAGGTTACCAGGTAAGGAAATAACACCTGTACGTGTGCAGTAAGCAATGTCACTTCAAAGAAAAATGTGTGTTTGTCTGCTGGTTTTTGCATGTTTACTTCTACTGGTTGTTTCCATCCTCTTCCTTCAGATTTCTTTAACACTGCAATGTTACATTGGTGTAAGTAATTAATGTATAAATCTCAAATAAAATAAAGATAAATATTTTATTAAAATATACATAAAAATATAAATTTTTAATATATTTTCTAAAAAATAAAGATAAATAAGATAAATCTCAAATGTATAAATCTCTTTGCTGTGTCAAAGGTCGCTGATGGTGAGAGAGTGCATCTACGCAGCAGCTTCAATTTGGCATAAATTTTTGGAATTACGTTCTAATATTTTTTTCTATAGGCGATGTGCTATTGTGAGAGTGTTTTTGCTGGTCATTTCTGTAAAACCAAAGAAATATTTCTATGTGTGGCCTTGACCAAATGAAGTTTGCAGCTTGAGACACAGCTTTTTCTAATCAGCTGCAGTTTGTTAGAATTTTACAAAGCAAGTTTTGCCTGCTTGAGAACATCTAATTTCTTTGCAGAGGGACTTTCACTGTTTAAACAGGCATAATGGTTTGTCCAGTTCTTGTGTGGCCATTCCGTTGCTTCTCAAGCTCTGGCTTATGTTTGGATGCAGTTGAGTTAGGCCTTTTGGCTCCGCTTGTAGCGGAGCTGTAGAAAGCAGTTGTAGACAACAGTTCGTCCTGTGATATAGGCTGGGTGTGCAGGGTTGTCTTGGTTTGATATGATGTTGAGATTTTTCTTTCTTAAGAATAATATTGTTTGTTACTTAGAGCAGAAGACAAAAGCAGTTATCGCCACATGATATGCACCCTGGAGCAAGTCTTTAATAAAAGCAGAGTCCATCTTTTAAAGTAAATAATAAAATATTTTTTTTCTTCACAACCAGCTCTTTATGAAGCTTTAGCTGCAGGGGGCAGGACTTTGGAAGAAAAGACAGTAGCTTTCCCTTTAAGTAAACTGATCTGTGAAAGTCTTAGTGTCATTTCTTAGCACTGGCACGTTCACCTGGCTTGCACAATTGTCGCAGAAGGACAGGTATTGGAGAAAGCTCTTAACTTTAGAGTACCTTAGAAAGAATAAAGCCAGGGTTAGCGTTTGGTCTTCAGTCCTGTGGTGCTGCCTCAAAGGCAACAGTGCTGTCCTCTGAAGTTGTATGCTTTATGTTGTGTTGATTTATTTTATATCTCATCTGCTGAAATTCTCCTGGCCTTGGATTTGAAGGTGTGGGGAAACATTCCCATCCAGTCCTCAGAAAATGATTCATGAAATACAACTATTCCAAGTCTAACTTCTGTTAAGCCAGCAAGCACTTCTCTTGAGTAACGCTTTCTTCTGACAGTGTTGTCCTTTTTTGTTTCAAATGCACATATGGTGAGCTTCCTCCACTTCTAACAGTCTGAGTTCACTGTTAGAAGTGTTCTCTGAGCCTGTAGTTTTCATTCTCTGATCATACCCAAGTAGGACCAAATGTGTTCCTTTTAAAAGTTATTATGTGGCTTTGCAAATACAGAGGCTTGTCCTGATTCTGTCGGTACCAGACTGGAACCAAGAGTGACAAGTAATCCTTCTGTGATAGAATAGGAAAGGAGTCTTGTTTTCGTGTGGTGTACCCAAGTAGTGGAGCTAACTGTGTATCAGATAGCAGGCCACCCAGGAGGTATGCAGGGCAATCCGGGTCTATTTGTTTTTCCTTTTAGTATTAGTCTTTGGAGGAAAGCACGTCCATGCTTCAGAGGGCAGGGGAAGTCTTTGCTTTTATATATGGCTGCTGGAGTGCTGTTGCTATGTGACTGTCCAGACGATGCTTCAGAAAAAGCTTTGCTGTATTGGTTCCAGCTCTGATGAGGCTCTTGTTCTGTTGATGGCCGTCTTGTTTCTAAAGCAGCAGAATGAATTTTCAGCAGTTTTTGAGATCAAGCAGGTAAAGCACTGACAAACACTACGTAATCTAGGAGACTGAGAAGTTCAGACTGTGTTGTGGTGTGGCGCCTTATTACCCAGAGGGTAAGATCTCGGGGCAGAAATTAAAGTCAGATGAACCAAAAGACAAACACTGTATTGATTTATGGTGAGAGCCTTGCCTCTCTATCTTCACTGCTTCATTTAGAGGCATTATCTTTTGGACATGCTTCCTCAGATTCTCATTCCCATTGTGCTCTGCGGTGCATTCACTAACTCTTCTTGAACTTGCTTTTCCCAGACCCTCGCACTCTTACAATAAGGCTGATATTAAGCTCCACAGGGAGTTTTTGTCATTTTTGAGTACAAAGAGCTGGAGTGAAGAACGTCATCCTCCTTCCTGCCTTAGCCACTGCAATGGCGGGAATGAGGTAATGGACTGGTGATGTGCATGATTTCTTTTCCGTACGTGATGCCCCACAGACAAGGATACTATCTGTGCAAATCCCAGTATACTCTCTAATGTTCCTTCTAATGTGAAGCCCAGAACCACAGGTAACTTTGAAAACAGTTGGGAAACAGAACTGAAACAGTTTTCAGCTCTGTGACACAGCAGAATGAGAGAATAAAAGACCTGCTGCTTGGCTGCCTAACTTCTTTTTTCAGTGGCAAAACACACTGCCTTTGAGGTCTGCTAACAGTTCCTGATCTGAGCTGGTGAGGAGGAGGGAGATTCCTTTCTGTTTCGATTGTGAAGATACCAGATTTCGTTAAACAGTATGAACAAAATAGATTAGAAAAACTGATTCCCTCAGTAGCAGCTACTACCCGTGACCTGGATTCCCTGAGGAAAGCTGGATTAATGACCTAGGAGAGCATCTGGGGATAAGACCTAGGGACCAGCACACAAGACTCCACTTTTTAAAGGCTTTAATCCATGCAAGGCTTATACTATAGATAGAAATGTATATCCTGCTCCTGGCATGTATCCTTGCATTGACTACAGTGGGAATATTCCCTGGCTTTGAACTTCAGTGTGTTCCTCAGGAGGCAATCTCATAAAACAAGAGAGGGATACTGGAGGCAGTTGAGAAGTGCAACACAAATTAATAGTGGCCTGGAGGGTTTTGTTTGTTTGTTTGTTTGTTTTTTAAAAAGGAATTGCATAAGTTTACAGTAACTGAGGGGAAACATGAAAGCATCTATGTGTCTCTAATCTGCTATGTCATTTCTCAGATTCCTATTTAAACAGATATTTTATATCAAATATATATGAACGCTGAAAGAGTAATTATTTAGGACACGAAAATAGAATCAGTAGAATCATAAAGTGGAAGTTCAGCTTAATGACTAAGAGGAAAGAATATGAAAATGAGATTGCATAAACTGTGGCATGATTGACCATGTGATTTCAATTCAATATTTCAATGCTTAGGTGAATGTTACATGGCATCAATGCCGAATAACTGTGCAGAGGAAATGCTAAAAAAAATCTCAACAGTTAAAAGAATTGTAGTGAAATATGGCTTTGGGCTCAGTGGCTTTGGGTAAAATTTCCTTAAGGAAAATCTCCAGCTTAAAAAAACCCCAACCTTAATCTAATGTAAGGTTCTCTATAAGAACTGTGCACTGGTGCATGGTATCTTTTGCCAGACATACACAGACTGCTCCTCCAGCCTCTCTGAATTTGTTGACATCATGATGTATAATGTAGGGTGATGATATGAGCAGGCTTGAGAACTGCTTTTGTGGCTCTGGAACTCAATTACCACAAGTCCTTTAAACCACAAAGCCTGCTGAGAGTAAGTGATTTATGTTAAAATAGCTTTTTCTCTGTTGTCTTGTGGGTTTTTTTTCATCTGTTTAAAAAGATTGTGCATCATAGCAAAAATATGAAGTAGAAATTTGGTGCCTCTTCTCTAATATGCTCTGTTCCTGTCAGTTGTAACTCCTGGAAGCTCCCGAGAGTCATTCTTGCAGCATTATCACCTTCCATAATCATATCATTAGTGACTGTGGTGTTAAAGTGCCCCAGTTCTGTTTGCTCTTTGTGGAAACCACTTGTCATGGGGCCAAACCTCTCTAGATTAAGTCTATTACTATCCACAGATGTATTGTGAAAACACAGAACATCAAGAGGCACTTAACCCATCATCGTTAGAGCTGAGGATTGTTGTTTTTGCCACATACACCCTTTCCAGAGTGGGGAGGGAATTTAACCATTTTCATTAACGTGGTAGCATTTAAAAGAACTGTCTTCATGTTTTTCCAACCACTATGCATCCATCCTAAGGCACAGAGGTAAAAAGAATCTGAGAGCTACTATTCTCCAATGCACAATCATGGTTATTCTTTTTACCAAAGTTATATTTGGTTTAACAGGACCTATTTGGGATCTACTCATTGAAGAACCACCATCTTTTATAGTAAAGCTATCTGTGCGGTTGTCTTAAGTAAAGGAATGCTAAATAGGAGGAGACAAGGACTGTTCTAAAACCGACAAAGGGAAATGGCAGCTGTACCTCTGAAGATTTTTATATTTCATACATTCCCATCCTGTGAATTGAAGCCATTGCATTGTATCATCTCCCTGACTATGGTCACTACACCAGCTGATGGATCAAGGCAGTGCTCCCCATCAGCACTGACACCAATAGGAGATGGCTGTTAAGTTGGTATTGGTCTTACTGATTTTTGCAGGAGCAGCCTCAGATCTGATTACATCCCACCTGGAGGAATCTCAACAGAAACTACTGACCAGTAGCTTTCATGTCATACAAGTAGTTTCTGGAGAAAATAATTCCTTAGATTTATTTTGCATAAAATACATTAGCAGCTATGAGCAAAGCTAGAAGAAAATTATTTATTTGTTTGCATGCCTTATTTGGATTTATTTGACTTTGCGGTAGGTCCCAGGGGTGCTGCGTAGTTTTATAAAGTATGTTTAGGTTTATGAACTATTTTTAGAGTGATACTCTCTACATTGTGTTGTTTAGTCTAAATTAGCAAAATATTAATATTGATATGCCCAGCCATTCTGAATATTTGCC